CCCTCGCAGAGAGAACTGGGACAAAGTAGACAACATAGGATTAAGCCTCTGGTAATTTAAGTAAATGTGAAAGAGCAAGGGATGCCAAAGAATACAAAGTAATTGCAAATAGAGTTCGTGTTTCTGCTCCACCATCCACAGCGTCCTCTCACCTCCAGGGCATTTTATGGCAGTGGCAGGAGAGATGAGGGGTCGGCGTGCTTGGAAACCCTCCCTGCAGGTCTGCTTTATGGATCCTGTTCCCTGTTTGTCCTCAGCTCAGGAATTCAAGGTCATCTTTCCTCATGAGATTCAATATCAGCACATGTGCAGTAGATGGGTTGGTTGAAAACAACTACAACCTTTGAAGTTGCACGAGAGCCTCCTGGTACCTCGCTGCTGATCAGGATTCACAAGCAATAAATGCCATTCTCTCAGCCACTGATCTCGACTTGCAAACATTTACTCGATGCAATTTACTTCAGCTGGAGAGCAATTACCCTTATCTCTAGCAAAGACCATGATAAACTCCTCCGCAACTGGGGGTTTATTTATTTTTTTTTTTAAAGCAGAAAAGCACCTCCCTTCTGCAACACAGTGGTTCCAGCTCGACACAAATTGCTATTCAGTCTGCCTAACCCCCGAATGCAAATCATAAAACATTCACAATGAGGCTGTTTGCTACCTGAGCTACATTTCTCCAAGAAACAGCGCTCCGCTGGCAGAGCATAGGGAAATGGAAAAAAGCAGGGAAATCGTCAGAAAACCTGACAGGGAGATCTTTAAAGACGTTTTATTCAACCTTCCTCTGTTCAAGGCATTTTTAGGATGAGGAAATCTAGAAATTAAAACTCCCTCTGTTAGCTGCTCTTGCAGTAGGCGACGTGGCAAGATCAATGTTTGGAAAGAGACTGTATAAGGAGAATAGTCTCCATCAATCTCATCCCTTCCCTTGGTGAACGTAATTAATTTACACTTTCTCAGCTGAGTAATCACCTCTGCTTTACATTTACAGTTCCTTTAGGAATGGAGTAATTAGCATTTGCCACAGAAACTTCAGTAGGTCTGTATGTTGCTGAAGAAAGTTGCTGTTTAGTCTATAGTCAAGCTTCACGACAAGTGCGCTCATGCACCGAGTAAAAGACAAATGTTTCCATGACAAGGAGTGCTTGACGGTTGGACTTGACTGGTCCAGGAAAACTCAGAGTAGTCAAAAGAAGAGAGAAAAAAAAAAATTATTAGAAATCCCAAACCAAAGGGCAATTCATCGTCGCTGGGTGGTGCGAAATACAGTGAAATATTATGCCTCGTTGTATAAGCTTGTGTCTAACAACAGATGCTTTTAGATGCAGTTGTTTCCATCTCGAGACTGCGCAGGGCTCAGCACGCACCCTGGGGCTGCCTCGCCACTAGTGTGTGCCAGCCTCAGAGGGCACTACAGAAACACGAGCAAAAAATGAAGCGCAAAAGGAAGAAGAGAAGCAAAACATGAAATTAACCTTTCCTGAGCACCAAAATACTTCACGTTGTTTCCACCATTAGGTTACATACGAGCCGTCAGAGATTTGGGAGATGAAAACTCAGCTATGTATAAAACCAAAGTGAGATACATAAAACACAAGTCACAAAGCCAAGTTTTTAACCAAAGGCATCAGGGATCCAACCACAGCTGAGTTCTGGTGCCAGGATACAGCTAATAGGAAGAATAAACACAACAGCAATCTAACTTGGGCTGAATTTTTCGTGGCAGCAAACAGTTCCATGACACCTCATCTACATTTCTAAGCTCTAGCATCTCCCTACAGTCACAAAAACGTATCTCTCCATGATTCAGGAACATAAATAAATAAATGCATACCTAGCACTGGCACAGGTTGCCCAGAGAAGCTGTGGCAGCCCCTCCCTGCAGGCAACAAGGCTTGTGAGAGGTCTGCAAAACATGCCCTATGAAGAGCGGCTGAGGGAACTGGGTTTGTTTAGTCTGGACAAGAGGAGGCTGAGAGGAGACCTTATTGCCCTCTACAACTACCTAAAAGGAGGCTGTAGTGAGGCTGGTGCTGGTCTCTTCTCTCTAATTACTAATGACAGGACAAGGGGAAATGGCCTCAAGTTGCGTCAGGGTAAGTTTAGATTGGATATTCGGGGGAAGTTCTTTACTGAACGAGTGATGAGGCACTGGAACAGGCTGCCCAGGGAGGTGGTGGAGTCACCAACCCTGGAGGTGTTTAAAAAAAAAGTAGATCTGGCACTTGAGGCTATGGTGTAGTGGTTGGGTGTGCTGGGATGAAGGTTGGACTAGATGATCTTCAGAGGTCCCTTCCAACACCTGACATTCTGTGATTCTGTGATTCTGTGTCCAAGGACAGGTTGGACGGGGCTCAGAGCAAGCTGCTCTGGTGGGAGGTGTCCCCACGTTAAAGGCCCTTCTAACCCAAACCACTCTGTGATCCTATAAAACATATTTCCAGAAAAAAAAACCCACAAACAAACAAACAAACAAAAACCCCAAAACCCCAATTAAGATGAAATGCTAATAACCATATTGATGATTTTAAGGAAGGAATAATAAATAAAAATAAATAAAAAGCATCCTAGACCCCAGCCCAGTCTCTCTGGGCCAACCATGCGTGGCCTCTGCGAGAGCGGCAACCGCCTTCGGGGAGAGCAGGCTGTGAAACTGGGGGGGGACCGAGGCAGTTTGTACCCCACTGCTGATTCTTGAGGGGAGAAATTATTCTACCAGAATTGCTGAATAATGCCATTTTATAGTTGAAAATACACGTATGAAATTTACATTTAATTTTGCCTTCAGATGCAGAATGAAATTTTCCTTTTGAGCCTGACTAACACCTTCCCTCACCCACTATCACTGGCTCAGGAGGCACCAAAGAGACAGAAGATGTGTTTCAGTACCCAAAACATATGGATCCACTCACATGAGTCACAACCGCAGCAATTAAAGCAACAAAACAAGTGAAAATACAGCAGTTCCTAGGCACGAGCCTATCAAGGGAGATTCCTGTGTTTTGGAGAAGGTTCTGTAGATGCTTTACAGCCTGGACAGATCTGCTTCCACCAACCATTCCTGATGGGAATGCCGGGGTGGGCAGGGGACAGGCCCCAATTGCCAGCGGCCACGGGGCCACGTGCGTGGTGTCTCTTCAGCCGAGACAATCCGCAGGACACCTATCGCATCTCGCTCCCCTCCAACAGGCACCCTGACCTAACCCAGATCCGGCTCAGCCAAGCCCTTCCCAGGAATCACAGACTGGGCATCACCCAAGGAGACTCTGAACTGCAGCACAGTTAGCTCTGCTCATAAATGCTTTTCACTCCCATGTGCTTTCTTAAACCCTCTCCTTGAAACTTTCAGGACGGTCCATCCATTTTTCCTTTCTGAGAGAAAAAAATAAAATAAATTTTAAATGGATTGTTTTCAAGTTACATCAGCAAACAGGCTGTTGCATATTAGCCCTGTCTCAGACTCGATGTATTACACACAGCCTCGATGCACAGCTCAGGTCAGATTTCGTGGCAGGCTGCAACACACACAAGCTTTGCACTTCAGCTTTGCAAAGCGCTACTCAGCAGCGTAAAATTTGACTACGGATGAACTCAGTGCAGATGCTTTTTGCCACTTGCAAAGAAGGATAATCCTAGCTCACTCAGCCCTGTTTCACTCACCCTTCACACCGCAAAAGGAGCTGGAGGTAAAATACAACAGGCAGCTGTGGAAAGAAGGTAGCACGGAGGTAAGGCTTGGAGCACATTAACTATTAAATGACCTCAGATAGTCTGTGCTTTCTAACGGCGCCCCTCGGGATGGCACGTGTGCTCAGGAACGCGTTCTCATTTCAAGGCATTTGGCGAAACCGAGAAGTCAAGATTTGACTCAGGTTATAGCCACGATCACTAATTGCGAGGTCAACATTCACAATAAAAGTGTAAGTGGAGGTGAAAGCAAAAGCCTGTCATCTCCATTCATGGACTTTGTACATCTTTTGTCTGGTCAACAGTCACGAGGTGCTGTTTGTGCCGGGACCTAGAGATTCAGCTCTAAACCTGCTCTCCTCCCACCTCCCTTTAACTCCTTGAGGTAGATGGACAGACAGCTCAAGATGTTCAGAGGCTACCTAGATAACCCAGGAAGAAATATCACTGCCTAGGGAGTAATCAGTATTCTGTACTCAGATTTCATCTGAGTCTCAGGAGAACGTTTTGTGCCCCATCCTGAAAAAGGAAACGTTACTCTTGATTTGAGGAAAAATGAACTGGAAATAGGAGCTGTACATGTGCTAATTGGCAGCGATGAAGTTTGCATTCATTACAGTAATGAGCATTGCATAAAGCACATTATCAACATTCACTGCAGATGTCAAGAGGAATCCAGAGGCAGAGAGGAAACACGCACGCTTGCCACAGCTGATCATAAACATCGTAAACTTCCAGCCCCCCAAGAACACAAAGCAAGGGGCAGTCCTATTTCTCCTTACTAGTCCTGAAGAGCATTTAAGTCTATCTATCAAATTCTTGTCCTAAACAAGCCTAGACAACCTTCCAACCATAGGATAAATATTACAACAAGCGCTGTAAATATTTTCATAATAGAAGCACAACTGTTACACTTCCTCCCCAGCATAAAAGCTACAAACGTGATTACATTCAGTTGGTAACTGGAGGATCCAAGCAGATAACTAATTAAATCCTTTTGTGTAGAGTAACATGTTTCTAACAACACATGAGGAATTAAAAGCAGGGAATGGAAGGAAAGGGTTGGAGTTTAACAATTCAACGTGTGAAATATGAGTCAAAATACCAGAAAACACCATCCACCATCTGCGAAATCAAAGCAAGGTAGCAATAGCGACGCGGTATCAAATGAAACGCAAACCATCTCCTGACAGAAGGTAACTGGGGATTTGCTTGATTTCACGCCCACGTGGAGCAATGCGAAGAAGGAACAGTGGATACACACCAACGTTATTATGAGTAAACGTTCTCTAGACATCTACAGTTCTTACCTTCTGGTAACCTGGGGTTAGCGTGAATGGAGTTGGGGTCCCCGTCTTCCTCAGGATGGTAGCGATAAAGCGTCTGTGACTGCTTCTGGGACGACTGACTACGGTCTTCCTTGAGAGCAACAGGCGGAGAGGTTGTGGCACTGAACTTGACCTTGGGGAAAGTGTTTCCCTCCTGCGTTTCATGGGAAGACTTGGACCAACTCGGCTCTGTTAAATTCACCTCTTGGGAGCCCAGATACATGCTGTTCCCTGGGTCTTCCTTTCTGGCATGCTTTTTCATTTTAGAGTGGGGGGCTTTTTCCGGCTCATGCCTCTCTTTGTCCCCTTGCTTCCCCCTTGGCCTCCTCTCCAGTTCCTCCGGGCGCTTGGGTGTCGCTGTGGTGGCTGTCGTGTGCTCCGGAGAAGCACCGGTGGTTACTGGGGCTTCCTTATGCAGCCTTTGCTGGAGCGACGCTGCAGTGGTGCGGGCCACCCTCTTTCTTTCACTTCTTTCTGTGGCACTGCGAATTTCAGAGGGGACTTTAGGTGCTGGCGTGGTGAGCGGCGCAGCCATTTCCTCGGTGTACGGATCAGTCGGAGCCGAAGCTGAAGGAGCAACGCTGGCCGGCAGGTAGTCATAGTCCTCGCTTTGCTCCTGGCTGATGCTCTCTTGTTCTAGGTGGGACGAGTAACTCCTGTATTTTTTTGGAGACTCCACCTGGGTGTTGTCCCCTTCTGGTGCCTCCTGGTCGTAGCTGTAGGGATCATCGTAGTGCCTCTCCGGTTCACCGTCTTCAGCATCAATCGGGCTCACAGTGTTTAAGGCAAAGGCGTTGCAGTCCGGCAGCTGGTAGCACATCAGCTCCCCACCAGCGTTGGGGCAATGGCAAACCTTGCAGGGGGGCATGTGGAAGGTGTGTCCCGCTACGTACTTCTGCCCTTCGTGGAGACAACCTATTCTCCCGCACTGAGGACACCCGTCAGCTGGCACCACCGCGTCGATGCAGTTTGGGGGCAGCTCCGGGCACAGCATGAACTGGCAGCTGATCTTGCCTCCCCCCTTGGGGCACGAGCACTCGGTGCTGCCAAAGTCCACGAAGTAAGACTGCCCTTCGGGCACTTTGCCGTTGATGAAGCCCACGTTGACGCAGTCGTAGTACTGGTAGCCCTCGCACGTGCAGCCGTGCTGCAGGCACGTGGCGCAGCACTCACCGGGCTCCAGCACGTCCTCGATGCAGTTGTCGAGGGGCTGGCACTCGGCACCCGTGCAGTCCCTCTGCCCGTGGGAAGCGCCGCTCCACAGCAGCACGAGGAGGACGGCAGCCAAACCACTCCACTGCCAGCTCCGGTGCCCGGCCATAGTCGTCTTCCTCAATAAGTTCAGCTCCAGTGCAAACTTGCACATTTAAGGTTGGGTTGGGCTTTGTGTTGGGTCTTTTTTATTTTTTTTTTCCCTAGAAGGTTGTAGATTTGGCTCCGGATCTGCAGTGTTTTCCCAAGTTACCTTTCCTCATAGATCCTAGAGTTATGAAAGAAAACTCTGTTAAAGACTATACTCAGCACATATCCTGTTAGACATTAGAGGTCTTTAAAAGTTGGGACAAAATCCAACATCTGGAAACCTAAGTGCAAAATTAATCATAATGTCTTCCAAGCATTGTAGGCACAGAGTTTGGAGTTGCATGCTCCCCCCTCATTTTGAAAGAAAGGAAAAGGAGAAAAAAAAAAAAAAGGGAAAAAAAAAAAAGGTTGTGACTGTTCTCTTTTGAATCAGTTCACAAAATGTATATATATTTCAATAAAAAGAAAGCCTTTGTAGTTCAATGCCTTTTTGTTAATCTCTCTAGCTAAAAAGAGATTTTTCTGGCAGATAGTAAGCAAATACACAGTTCTTTCTCTGCAGATGTAACTTTAAGATAATTATTCTTTATATTTTAATTACAAAAGACTCAAATCTTAAAGATTTCTCTTAGACAAAACTTAACCCTGAGACGTGAGAATTTGTCTGCACACACGTTAACTTAAAACAAGAGGAGGGAGTTTTCTGCCTCTTTCCCCAACTTTGCAATCTATTGTACTTCAGTCTTCAGCGTTAACAGATACTTTTCTTGCCCCAGCAGGGCTAAAATAGAACTTCTTTGTATACTGTGGTTACTGTGTGGTTAAACATCCTATTAACTATCCTGTAATACATATTAGAGGCCGGATCCTCAGCTCAGAGAAGCTGGCACAGCTCCACAGCAGGGCTGGAGTGCACAGAGGGACAGATTCTGACTTCAGTAGATAAACTGCACACATTTACACCAACCGAGGGTATTCCCCCAGTGGCAACTACTTCTGTTAGTTTTGACACCACCACTGGTAACACTTTACTGTGAATAACTTCACAGTGAATAGAAAAAACCAAATAAGCGCATGCATATATATTTATCCATTAAAACGAATATGCGTAACAGCACTTTGTCAAAACGCGTTGAGGGAGACGGCATCGCGTTTTAGTTGCTAAACCACAAAATCTGACCACAGAAAAGTTTAAGAGATAAAGTCAATCAGCTGTCGTCCTCAATGGCAAACGCATGCTCGAAAAGCTACGCGACTAACGCGGAAGAGTAGTTAAAACGGAAAAAAGTTTGCCTATAGAATTTTATAGAATTAGCAATCTGATTATTTTCCCAGAACCCCTCCCATCATCATCAAAAAATAAAGACCCTAAAACATTTATCTGGGGGATAAAATACCGTCACACCACCAAGAACAATAAGCCACACACGCAACGGGAACCCTGCCAGAAAATCCATTCAGAAAGATTACTGCTCCCATTCAAACCGGGCTCCCAACAACTCGGCTTCGGCACTGCTGGAACGTGGCCAGGCCCTGGGAAAAGCGTGCCTGTTCTGATAAGATATGGACAAACTGTGCTAAGAATTTCCACAGTTCTGCCCCGGAATTCGAATTACTTCAGTACGTTGTACAGAGATATAATTCTTACAAACATAGGTTTGCTGCTACTAATTCGAGTACGTTAGTTGAGTGTGCTAAGTGAAGGAAAAAATAAAATTGTCAGAAAGCGTAATAACGGCTTGGAAGAACCTCACTTTTTCAGAGCTGCTCTCCAAATTAGGATAATGGCGCACGAAGGAGAATTTTCAATATGTGGTGCTGCAACTAATTCTTCCGACTCCAGCTTAGAATTTGATGATTTATCCTACTTTCCACAGCTTTCCCAAGTAATCCAAATTTGTAATTACTACATAGCTGGAGCTAGGAAATAATGAAGGAAGGACGATTACAGATAAGCTGCTTCTGCAAGGGTCCCATGGCAGGATTTTGCCACCATCTTCCCCCTCTGGTACCTCCTGGCTTGTGGCGTTTCAGTGCATGGAAGCCCCTTGGTCAAACTCAGGGCATAGCTCTGCCCTGGCCTCCCAGGCTCAGGAAGCCCCAGGACCCCAACGTGGGACACCTGGGTGTCACCACTCCAAGTGTGGCCAACCCCTGCGGGCACAGCATCGCCTCGGTCATCAGCACCTGCAGGTCACCTAAAGGGCAAGCGTGAGCCCATCGCCCACTTTATGCCACAACTGCTCATGGTCAACTCCGGCTGTCCCGGTGCAGCACAGCCCGACAGGAAATGGTGACGACAGGAGCAGGACAGCCCTGTCACCAGGGTCTGCCAGCCCTGCTCCTACGTTCAGGATTCCCAAAAACGTGCACTCACTGCTCAAGCATAAATGTGAACTCCCAACCAGAAACCCTCAAACTACCTGGCACCCTGAAGCAAGAAGCAGAAAGCCAGTCATAATCTATACCTGGCACGGCTAGAGGCTCAAGTACAGCTCAGGGCTTATCACTGGAATGGAGCTGCTTGACTGCCCTCCCCTGTACAGTTACCTCGTCCCCTCTCATGCACACCCCCTTTCTGTCCAAGGGTTTGTCTGCTTGTGCAGGTCACCTCCAGTTTTTCCTCTGTTCCTCTCCTCGCTCCCCTGCCTCTCGCCCACAGAGAGGCTCAGAGAGCTCGCAGCAAGCCCTCTCCCCATCTCTCACCCTTTCTGCTCCACTTCTCGTTCAGTTCCTCCATACCCTTTCCTCTTTTGACCGCTTCCACATCCCTCAACACTCCGTGTCGTGAGCTACCAACCGCAACCCGACACGTCTGAAACCCTTCTGTCAATGACACCGCAAACCTTCCTCATCCTGAAGCTCACTGTCTCCTTGTTTCTGGCTGTACTCCGTGATCTCAAAGGTCTTTTCTGACCTAAACGATCCTATGATTCAATGGTGCAACGATCTCAACAAAAGAATCTCTTGTTCCTTTAAACCCCTGTATTTTCCCTGTGCTTCCTCCATCTGTTTCACAAGGCCATCACTTCCACCACCACTACCACCCCATAAACTTGCATATCAAAAAAAGTCTCCACTGCAGCCACAGTTTTGAGTGAAGCGCACAGCCACAACTACCGAGCCCTGCTGAGAAAACACATCCCTCCAAACAGAGAGCGTGTGTGCTCCTGCCAGCCCACGCCGCTGATGTGCAACTGCCTCTGGATCCGTGCCCTTCCCCAACGCCGAAACGATGCTCCAGAGACGGCAGCTAATTACTTCGTAACAGCATCAAAAGCTGGAGCTGTGAAAGAAAGGTGTCTCTACCAATAGGGTAAAAAAAAAAAAAAAAAAAAAAGAAGAAGAAAAAAAAAAAGGCACTTAAACGAGCATCAGGTCTTTTTACTCTCAGCTCTGCACCTCACCCACTCTTACCAATGTCACTGACTTTCTCTGTGCAGTCGGGTGAGATGTCACAACAAATTAAGCCCAGCACATCTAAAATAAAGGTTTCCTCTGTTGAAAGCTTTAAGGAGCTATACAGCAAGACAACACAAGTGTCACCCCAGCCCTCATGTCTCGTTTCGTGATCTGGGAGGCTTCGATGTATGTCCTTTGGGGAGTTTTCTAACCTGCTGTGCTGCACACCCTGCTCTCCTCCGGTTCCAGTGCTAGCCCTGTTGGCTTTAGTGGGGTCGTACTGGGCCACTATGAAAGTAGCTGTTGTCAGTCCTGTGCACACAGCGTGTCCTCAGAAAGCATGAGTTTCCCTTCAAGGGACAGACAACGCTCTGGACCAGGACAAAGTCCCTCCAAGTCAACAGAGGTAAACCTGTGAGTAAACAGAGGATAGTCAGACCTCAGAGGAGTTCCTCACTCCTCAATTTCTTTTATAAAAAGAATTCCTAGGAAATGCAAAGATGAGACACCTTATGGAAAGCCAGCTTGAGGAAGTAAGGGTCCAAACGCACATGAACTACAGACACATATCTTCACAGAAAAGGAAATGAGAATGCTTCACATGATGAAACCGGTATCTGTGTGACAGGACGTCCAAGGCTAACAGCAGCAGCCATCAAAATTGTATCCAGCACTGGCTGAAAAACATCACATCCCTGTCTCCTGGCAGAGGAAGCAGGTAGAGCAAAACAAGATTTCGAAAAGCTTACTTCAATTCAACTGGAGGCCAAAAAGTTATAAATTCTGACACTTTTGCAAAACAATATGGTCGGAGTGATTTACTTCAATCAAAGCCATAACATAAAGTCAAAAGGAAGAACGTTGATTAAAACAGTTCAGCTGCTGGGAAATGTTGATGAAACCAGCGTGTTCCCACAGAAGATCTAGGTATTTCAAATGTGCAACTTCTTTAAATTAAGAGGAGGATTTTATTGGGAGATTCTTTTTCCAGATGGTTTCACTTCAGTGCCGAACAAGAAAGCTAACTCTAGGTAAGCAGAGGTGACAGGAGAAACCTTCCTTCAAAGCCTTCACATAAACACCATCTTTCCGTATGAAGGTTGCCCCAGAGATGGCAGAACAGCTGCAGAAGGTGTGAGGAGATACTGCAGGATCCAGAGAATCACAGAATAAAAAGAGGCAGCCATTCCTAAACAAAACACAATAAATAGAATAAGCCCAGCCCACCGCAGAGGGCAACACTCGCACGAAAACCCACCGGCTCCCAGCTTTGAAGACGTACCTGCAGTTCCACCAGCTGCAAACAGGTTTAGACGGAACAATTCTGTTCTCTGAGCTACCCCTCCATTCCTCACTAAGCTGCCCCTTTCGAGGATAGTAAAAATGGAAATGTGGTTTCGATACACGCCTTCTCCTTTGCGGCAGCATGCAGATGCATGCCTGACACGAGAGCAGAACATGGGGTTAGCTCCGGAGCTCGTTCACGGACTGACACCCGGGTTCAATGCGCACAAAGAATAAAGCCTGTCTGTGCGCTAAGCTCTGGGGAAGCGAATGCAGCGGCGGCCCTCGCCACCACAAAGCAACCTCCTCAACCTGCAGAGTGACCACGAATGGTGCCACTGGTCTCCCAGTGCTGCCCAGGCTCTCCAGGCTCAGGCT